TTATATAATGCCATAAGATTCAAAAAAATAAATAATATAAAAGATAATATTTTAAAAATGTTTTATTTACTTATTTAAACTCTCTATTTAAAATTCCAAACTTAAATTATACGTTCTTAATTTAATGATTTTGCATTGCTGCGCTTTAATGTCTTCAGAAACGTGAAGGCAGTTTTTTGCGAACTTTTTAAACTATTCAAAACTATTTAAAATACGGCGATACGCAAAACATAAGAAGTGTAAGTAAAATTTTAGGCAATCGGAAATACTCCTTTAATTGAATGAGTAAATAAGTAGAAAATAATCATGATAAATAATTTTTGTGATGTCACATTTGTCAAACTTCCCCCTCCCCCCTTGTCACAAATTGTCACAAACTTATGCCTCCCCCCCCCCCCCCTAGTAGCGTGACGTACTTTATGGATAACCCCTAACAATCTTTTTTAAATTAGAAATAATTTTAAAGTATGCTAAAAAATAAAATAAAATCTTTACCGTATTTAGCCCCATATAAATCATACTGTTGCATTCTGTAAACTGGGAAATCGTTTGACGCAGCCACTGCAGAAGATGAAGCTGAAATTATTATAATTGGAACAATCATTAGAAAGCAAACTGAACTTTTCAAGTTCATTAGTTTAAATTAAAAAAGACAAAGAAATGTATCGAAAACCCCGTATTTGTTGAAAGACTTTAAGGTAATAATAATATTAGATGTCAATACCCGTAAAATACGGTCTATTCTACGCCGACCATTTCTACAATTGTTTACTATGAACATATAATAAAAACTTTTTTCAGTACAAATAATAAATTTAGCACAAATAATATATATATATATATATATATATATATTTATATATATATATATATATATATATATATATATATATATATATATATATATATATATATATTTATATATATATATATATATATATATATATATATATATATATATATATATATATATATTTATTTATATATATATATATATATATATATATATATATATATATAAATATATATATAAATATATATATATATATATATATATATATATATATATATATATATATATATATATATATATATATATATATATATATATATATATATATATATATACATATATATATATATATATATATATATATATATATATATATATATATATATATATACATATATATATATATATATATATATATATATATATATATATATATATATATATATATATATATATATATATATATATATATATATATATAAATATATATATATATAAGTAACGCTGTTAAAAAAACGCGAGAAACTTGCAGAAGACCATGTGGTCTTGTCATCAAGAAACCGCTTTTAGTTGCGATATTTTTGTATACTTAGTTTATTAAAATTTCAATTTAGCAAAGTTACATGGTGGCATTACAGTCTCATTTAAAAAGCTATTAGCTAATCAAAAATAGATTAAAGCTGTATTTGATACACATAAATATATAATTAATTGGCTTGTACTATATTGACAGACAAATACAAAATATAAATAAAACATTTACTTTGCTAGTTGTTTGTTTTAATATACTTTTTCTATAATTATTTGTTTAGAACAAATTTTTATTCTTTACTTCAATACTTTTTAGTAAACAGTAAAGAAACTATACTTGTTGTCTACCTTTTAAAGTCATGAATAAAAAAAAAAAGTTGTAATATAATTAACTTTAAAATATTTTAAACGCTTCAGCAGCCGTCGCGCGAACCGCTATTTATCAGCGTTTTGGATATTAGTACCCGAGACAGTTATTCTAATAATATTTAGAATACTCGCTTGAAATATGTTTATTAACTACTTGATTAATGTGTATAATATCTATTCAGTGGGCACAGAACGTCCGCTGGACGTCTTAACTATATACCTAAAAAAAAATCAAATTTTCTTGCAACCTGGATGATTCCTGATTTTTAATGTTGGAAACACGATATCAGTAAGAAATTGTAATTCAAATCAAATTTTAAGTAACTGTTTAGTTTACCTCTTTTTTTTTTTTTTTTTTTTTTTTTTTTTACTTTGTTACGAAATAAATTTTCAGAATTCATTTTTTACAAAAGAGTATTGTATATTGCTTTATATTATATATGTCAAATTAAAAAATTGTTTTTATTTTTTTTTCTTTTTTGTTTATGCACTTTTTATAATTCTCAAATTATCCAACTAATTGTAATTGAGTCTTATGCACTAGTAAATGATTATTCAAATTCTCATTCAAAACCTTCATTTCATTCAAAACTCATTCAAAACCTTTATTTAACGAAATGAGAATACTTAATATTTATGAAAGGAATTTATATAATACTCTATGTTTTGTATATATGTGGAAAAATAACTTATCTCCTGACGTTTTTAAAAATATTGTTACTTTGAAACCAGACAATAAGTATGCACTGAGAGATAATAATTTGCTAAATCAAGTTTTATATCGAACCAAGTTTAATCAGCTTTGTATTGATTATCGTGCACCTAATTTTAGGAATAAAGTTATTTTGCAAAATTTTGATCTACCTTCCTCTTTTTCTATTTTCAAAACTAAGCTTAAAAAACTAATTCTTTCTATGGAGAACGTTTTTCTATATTACTAGTGTTATGGGTTTGTCTACACTGTAAAAAACCTTGTGTTGAAAATCAACACTTGATCTTGTGTTGCTTCGGTTAAACACAAGTTATATTCAATTATAAAAATATCATTCAAAAGCGCATGCGTTACCTGCAAACAAAAATTATTTGTTATTTTCTTGCTAAAACAAGACTTGTGTAGAGGAATTCTCAAGATACGCATGCGTAACACCTCGTGGAATTTGTACTATTTCAAATAAATTTTTAAATATTTTAGGACAGCTTTTTTGAATCAAGATTAACAATTTTTAGTTTGTAGTTAATTACTTAAAATTTTTTCATCACTGTTAAGTATTAACAATGGGTTATTTTTGTGTTTTTTGAGAGTCTATTTTAGTATCATTGAAGACTGTAAGTGACCTTTTAAAACATTTTCATTATCGCCATGGTATTACTTCAACACAAAATTGTAAAATTTCTTGTAGACAAGGTGGCTGTTGCAGAACATATGGCAGTGTCCATTCCCTTAAAATTCATTTATATAGAAAGTATCCAAATGACCCTCATTTTGAATATAACGATATAAATATTTCTCCTATGGAAAGCAATGGTGAGCTAATGGATCAGCTAGGTATTTATACAGCAGCACATATTGATAAAGATAACAGAAATACTATTTTTTCAAGTGAATTAAATGGGGAAAAGATAAAAGAAATGATTTTAGATGTTTTAATGACTCTAAGATGTCGTAACACAAGTGAAGTTATAATTCAGTATGTAGGTAAAAGCATTCAAAATATTTAATCCACAGTTATTGAAAGTGTACAAAAAACAATTCAAAATGATGAAGCAGATGCTGGCAGAGTAAGTGATGTCCTAAATGATATTGAATGTGAGTGTGTAAAGGGTAGTTTAATTACATCTAGTTACCTGCAAAGAAAACACTTACAACAAAAAGGGATGGTTGCATCTATTGAAATAACTGTTGGGTTCAGATCTGAGATGCTTCATAAAGTTTATAAAAATAATGTAATGAGTTATCGAAATGAAACTATGCAGTATATTACTATTCTAGAAACCATTTCTATGGTGATTTCAAAGTACTCCATTGACAAAATAGATAATAACGTTTTAACAAAATTAAATAAATTAACTTGTTATAGTGATGCAGAACAATATAAGAATCATCCTTTATACAAGAAACATCCAGATGCTCTTCAGCTTCAACTATACTGTGATGATTTTGAAACAATAAATCCTTTAGGATCAAAAACTAAAGTTCACAAATTTTGTGCAGTTTATTTGTCCATCAAAAATGTTAACATAAAGAAATGCTCTAAATTGACTAACATATATCCTGTAATTTATTGTTTTTCAGCTGATGTTGCAAAGTATGGATATGAAAAGGTTTTAAAGCCATTAATAAAGGACTTGGTAGCTCTAGAGAAGGGAGTTAAATTGTATATAAATGGAAATTACATTTGCACATATGGTGCAGTAGTTATGTGGTCAGGGGACAATCTTGCATTGCACCAAATTTTTGGATTTAGTTCAAACTTTATTGCCAACAAGAGCTGTCATTACTGCTATACAACAAAAGAACAAATGCAACACACTATTGAAATTATGCCTGCTTGCTTACCTTTGCCAGTGGCTGTTTTTGGTGAAATTCCACTGTATGTAGAATTTTTTTGTGCAAATTATGTAATTACAGATGGTGTAAAGTACATGCCAGACTTTATTGTAGTTTTAGGGCTAACCAAACTTTGTCTCCCACGTTTCGGAAAGATTCTATATCTACTTGTCCGTAAAAATGAATGCACACTTATAGTTGAAAATCTTTTTACCATACACTACGATGCTCATATTGCTGGCTATAATGTATGTAAAACATCTAAATATACAGCTGTTAAAAGAGACAATTTATTTGATTCTTATGTACTGTCGTTGTCAACTGGCTTCAGAAAGTATTCTGATGAAAGTTTTGTTATAACAAGACATGAATATATTAGCCTGGATATAATAACATAATTTTTTAGTTTTGATATTGATTTGATTTTGTTATTAATGAAACAAAATTATGATAATGAAATATTTACCAACTTTTGTTTTTCTAAAATATGAATTTATTTTGAAACATGTATTTAAGTTAATAATGTAAATAGGCAATTTTTGTTCAAACATGGATAATGTTTATTGATTTTCTTTGATTTTCTTACTTTTAGTAAAGTTTTTTTATAATAATGGAGGAAATTAACAACTTCTTAAGTAAAGTTCTTCCAGTGGAGGATATTAATCGTCTCCTGCCTCATTTGGTAGAGCTAGGTGCTAGTTCAATGGAAGATTTGCTGTTTTTAAACGTTGAAACAGACCTGCCTAATGTACTACCTCCTCTTAAGAGACATAAAATAGAAGCAGCTTTAGCAACTTCAAATTCTAAGCCTGTTCATTCGCAAAATGTGGACCTTATTGGTATGTTACTACAATTTATTTTTAGTACACAAATTTCATTTTTTGTCACTTTTTATTGATGTGACATGCATATAGTTACAGTTTGTAATATGATTTACTTTATGATGCACAATCTGTGCATCATAAAGTAAATCATATAACAAACTGTTACCACAGAAACATCTGTGGTAACTCCCATTGCATGAACCAAGTCATGTGGTCCAAAAAAGATGGTACCTAATATTTTATTACATTTTAACATTTTTTTTATTTTATTGTTGATTTTTTTTAAATATATTTTTATATTTTATTTAGGTTATATAGATATTTTTTTAATTTTCAATTTGTATAAATATTTCTTGTCAGTTTTTGAATTAAAATGTAATATGTTTGTTAGAAGATTATAGTTGCAACAGCGTTATACTCTTTGACTAGTTGATTAATTCAAAAACTTCTGTATTGGTTTCTTCTATTAGGTTGTGTCAATAACGGATGCAATAGAAAATCATCCTTTAAAAAATAGCATCATTATTGAGGCACAAAAAGCTGTAATGGATGATCGCTTGCATTGTCTTCTTGTCAAAGTAGCATGCTCTTACTTAATTGATTGCTTCGAAAAGTAAGTTATATAATATTTTTTAAAAGTATATATAATTATAATACATGATTACATAATTATCTTATTAAAATATGTATTTTAGGTTATCCTGCCACTGGTAACATGAAATCCAATACAACCTGTTTCATGTTAACGTCAGGAAGGGCATCCGGTTGTAAAAAATTGCTTCAGCTCTTACATAGTGGCATTTATGTCACTTTGTAGAACCATCCAAACCACACTAGTGTGGAAACATGGATGTAAAACTTCGAGGGAAAAAAGATAAAAAAAATAAAAATAAAAATGTTCCATTAAGTATGTTAATTATATTATGTGATTAATTTATTTTTTTACAAATAACATAATTAATATAAGTAACATAACTGTATAGCTAATAAAATTAATTAGTTTACTATATATTTATATCTATTCAGTTTAAACTGTAATACTTTCTACAGCTATCCTCCACCTGAGCATCAATTAGCCATGGCAAAAAGTATTGTTTCAACTTTTAAGTTTAGGCCATGTCGATGATTGATTTTGATATCGTTTACTTTTCGTTAAAGATATAATTTATTTTAAAAAAATAGGAATTATACTACTGTCCGGGTACATTAAAGGGTTTTCTCACTAACCGTTTTAGAGAAATTTATCGTCGTTACCCAGCAGATGTAAAAAAATACCGTTCTCGCAGTAAAAAGAGTATGTTAATTTTTTATTACCTAGTTAATTGCCGAGTATTTTTTTATAACCTATTTAAAAAAGACGTATTTAAACATTTGATAATTTTATAAAGCATTTATTAACAGTAAACTCATAACGCATTTTTAAAGATAAATATTTAAAAACTTATAAAAAGTTCTAACACACATTTTTGATGCTTATACTATGCTTATATTATAATGCTCATGTTAATACCATATTTTTCAAAATTGGAAATCTTTTCTTAAAAATAGGACATAATACAGCTTATACATAATGTAATTTAGTATAATTATTATCTTTATAGTTTTATACTTTATGTGTTCTGTAAAATATTATTTGTTTTGTAATATTTTTTTACTATTAGGTGATGGGTTTATTGCTGTTGGAGATGACACAGCGGAAATAAGCAACGAAGAATATGATTTAATAAAGACAAAATTGTTGCATCTTATTTATACAGACCGAAATGAAAATGGGATTGTAGAACTGATAAACAAATCAGGTTTATGCAGGCAATTGTGGATCCGAAATGATTTACCGACAGCTAATAGGATACTTGAGGAATTTTCAAGATTTATGGACACTACATTGTTGGTAAAAAAAAAATAATTACTGGCTAGACAAATTTTTGAAGGGTAGTTTCAATTTTTGCATTAAATTAATTTGTAACATTTGCATTAAAATAATTTGTAACATTTGCTTGTACTATTCAGTTAAATGATGAGTTCCAATCCGTTAATCGAAGTTATGTAGAAAATATTCCAGTTTTATTGGAAACAAAAATTTCGAAACAAATAATTGCATACTGCAGGCTGACTGACAAATGCATTGACATTATAGGTGAGATAGATACTGAAGGGAACAGCAATACACGTAAATAATCTTAAACGAAAAATCTTAAACGAAAAAGTTATATTTATTAAGTTATGTTTGTATTTATGTAAATGATATTATAATTTTAATTTTGTTTAGATGCATTAGTACTAAAATCTTTAAAAGACATTGTTTATCTTTTGCCCACTATGGGAAAATATCGTCTTTCAGTAGGTGTAGCAATGCTTTTCCTAATTTAAGAACTAAAGGTAAGATTTATTTCGAAATCTCATTTATTTCAAAATCTCATTGTTAAAATTATTTATCATTAGTATATAATTTTAAGGAAGTATTAAATTTAATTATACTAACAACTGTTCAATCTTCTTTATCTCGTTATTTTACTTGTGTTTAATTTTTTTTCAATTAGATTTACTTCAAACTTAAAAAAATTGCATACTTTTTTTTTCAGGACGGCGAGACACTCTAGACGTTCCTTAATCGCTCAAATCCAAAACAGTAACCGTTCATTTTGTCGTGTGGATCGTCTTTTTGTTGTATGCGATGGAAAAGCAATTATAGTTAAACCTTCAAATGTTTCTGTTGCCTTTGACTGTCTTTTCAAGTCGGTTTTTGTATTTAATCTTGAATATCCAAAGCAACTACAAATATTATACAATTTCTTTCAAGAATTTGTTTATAAACTGCCTGGTTCTGTTGCGTCCACTAAAGCACGTAAATTATTCGAAGAGATATCTCACGGCTATCTGTTTTCCGATATTTAACAGTAGTTAGTGGAAGTGCAATTCTGATTTTTTGCGCTTTTTTTTCAGTTCTGTTTACTAAAAAAAAAATAACTCTCTGGTTTTTTATTTTATTTTAATTTGGTTTCCTGTTTTATTTTTTGTAACAATTAGTGTATGTTGTAGCTAAAAAAAGAATGTCAATATCATCTTTTTACTTCGAATTATAGAACATTAAAGTTGTGTATCCGCTCGGGATATTCTTGTATCCGCTCGTGATATTTTATTTTCATGCTTTATATTTGATGGTACTTCTGAATATATTTTGCTGTTTCTAGCCAAAAAAAAATAATTTAACTCCTTAAGTTTAGAACAAATCAAATTAGAAAAAAAAATAAAAAGGTTTATTTTAACGTATATCTTTTGAACTCTTGATTTTAAACTTAATTCACTATTTAAACATGGAATGGATAGGAATATTAAACTTTGGTGAAAAAGTTGACTGTGATGCATGGGATACAGAACCATTAATAGATATTCAGCAAAAAGAAAGTTTGTGTCGAATTCGGGAGAAGAATCATTTATAATTTTAAATGTTAACAAATCATTAAATGGAAAACCCTTATATGAAGGAATAGTTATGCGTGATAATAATATACAAAAAAGATATATCTGCACTAATCCAACATCAGTTTACGTAAGGTTATTTGCTTTTTTGGTGTAAAAACAAAAGGTAGACTCAATGGAAAACGATTTTATGGATAAGACTCTAAAGATTTCAAGTTTCGTTTAAGTTTATCCGGATCTGAAGATTGTAGAAAACAATATCAATCCCTTATATATAATGTAACATCCCCCACAAACACAAGATTGTGCTCATGGTTAGGTGTTATTAGGTGTTATGGTACTGCAATAAATTGTGACAGTTTGTTGTACATAAAAATAATTGGATCAGTTAAATGTTGTATTCAACCAGGGTATGAAGCACAAAGGTTATTAAGCTGAATGATGTTAATGTGGTTATAACAATGAAGATTGATAAATCAGATGATGGTCCTGTTTACCGAATTATTGCTTTTGACTTATTAATTGATTGCAAGTCATTGCATTCCTCTTCTGTTGTTAAAGATCCTTTTAGCAAATTAATTTATATTAGTTCTAAAAACTGGTCTGGTTTTCAGTTTTTTGGCTTGGATAGAAGTGAAGTAATCAATAAAATATCTTGTCCAATAATAAAATTTGATACACCATCTTTTGATAACATTAAACAAAACAACATCAGTGTAATAGTTAATTTACTGAATATAAGAAAACGTGGTGCTGGAAAAACTAGTTCGCTTCTCAGTAAAAAAGCTATAAAATCTCGGAATAAGACAATTCATTTATTAGTAGAGTTAGCAAGCTATGGTGATGTAAAAAGTAAGTAGTTCTAATGTTCTATATTTTATTTTGATTAATTTATTGAATCTAGAAAACTTAAATCACTTTTTTAGGTTTTGTGAACTACATAATAAATGAGTGCCCAGAAATTGTCGAAAAAGTTATAGATGAAAATACTGATTTCTTAGTTCATATTGTTGAACGGCTTAGGTTTATAACATCTGTTAAAAATCTTGATTGTCAACAAACTGCTTCAATAATGATGGATAAAATTGAAACTTCACAGAGATCTTATAAAGTTTTAAAAGGTATTCTCAAGAAAAATAATATAAACATTCCTACATATGACAACCTTAGAAAATACTGTCTTAATATAGATGTAGGTCTAATTCAACATGCTCATAATGATGCTAGTGTCGACTGTGAGTGTTTTGGTTACTCTTGTAATGTTGAAGAAACATTACAAAGAGTCCTATCAACCCCTTCTCTTTATGAAAAATTTGAGTTTTTTTCCATTGAACAACAACAATTGATAAGAGATTTCTTAATTCTGAAGAATAATACTCTTTATGAAAAGTTTGACATAAATAGCAAAACTTTAATTCTGCGTGACACTGGAGATAATTTTCGTGCTGCTAGCCGTTATCCAACTGAGCAAACTTCTTTTTCAATATTGAATTTAACTCCTATGATTAACAGCCCATATGGAAAATTTATCACAACTCTTTGGCGAGGTAATGAAAGTCAAAAGAGTATAAAGTTACATGTGCAAAAAGTATACACAGATTTGACAAATCTAGTTAAAAATGGATTAACAGTGTGTATTAATGGTAGTAAAACTGAACACTTTAATGTGATTTTATTTCTAGTTGCAGATCTTAGTTTTATTAACGAGGTTATTGGTAAATGCTCCAGTAATCAAACATATGGTTGCAATCATTGCAAGTTGCCAATTTATGATTGGGCCGCTGTAAATAAAAAGATTGGTCCTATTCAATTGGTTGTTGATATACAAGAACGTGGGGAATGTGCAAGGGTTGTGCTAGGCCCTAGACCAAACGAAGATTCAACACAATATAAAAAGTTTACTGCTGACAACTATGGACAATGGGTAAAAAAAATTTTATTATTTTAATTTTATGTTTATAACAAGAATCTTATAATAACACTCTTAAATACTTCTAAAATATGAAAATCATAAAAAGTGTTCTAAAACATTATTTATTATTTCAGGGAATAGTGTTAATTGAAGGATTGATTATTGATTTCATGCCACCGTGTGGCTTGCATTTAATTTCGGCACAACATATATATCTTTGGAAATTTTTATTTGATGTAGTAAATAAGCTTTCACAAGAAAACCTTTTGT